ATTTTTTATCAAAATGAAAATAGTTCTAGTACTACAGGGAAAATATACTTTCATTATACATTTAGAAATTTTTTTTTTGAGAGGTTTTCACTACAAGGTGCGTGCGCTCACCGGACAGACAGACAGAGAGACAGAGAGACAGACAGCGAGAAATCACCCCCCGGGGGGATGGTCACGCCACAATCCCTTCTCCTCCATTCTCCTCTTGGGATCTTGGGCACACACGCACATGCGCCCGGTGTGAGTTTTAAGCCACCGGGTCCAGGACGCGAACCGCGGTTGACTACGTAGGAGTCCAGCGACATAGCCATTACGCTAACTGCTGATTCCCTAGAATTTCATTTTATTGAAGACAATTAATGATGGAAGAATGGGACATGACTAGACATTCTTTCTATTGTTATACCAATGATTCTTATGGTCCCATGCTTATAATTAAAAAATATATTTTTGTGGATTTTCCTTCTGTGAGGGGCTTGTGATTCTCTAGGAAAACGTCTTTTTAGGGTTAGCTGGTGGTGTGAAGGTGGCTGTAGCCTATATAGCTGACTTTGAGTCCCAGACCTGGTGGCTTGAAAAACTGGTGTGTGTGTGTGTGTGTGTGTGTGTGTGCAAGTATACCTGAAATCCCCCCAAAAAACAGGAGAAATGGAGATGTGATTGCTGAGTAACCATCCCCCATGGAGAGGGTGCTTTCTCATTTTTCGCCTCTCTTTTCAACAAGTACATGTGCCCACTATCAAATTTTTAAAAATAGCAAAATAAAAATAAGAAATCTCATAGGCCATTTTATGTACAACAATCCTCATTTGCTTAGCAACTTTTATCACTTAGATTAGCAGATCAACTTAGTTCCTTCAATTACACACGGTATTGAAACTTACCTCTCAGCAGTGCCCCAATGGAGATTTTTTAAAATTATTTTTTGGAGAGGTCTTTCGCTATAGGGCACGTGTGCTTGCCAGAAAGAAAGAGACAGAGAGACAGAAAGTGAGAAATCAACCCCCACAGGGGATGGCCACGCCACAACCCCTTTTCCTCCATTCTCCGCTTGGGATCTTGGGCATACATGCACACATGCACGGCGTGTGTTTTAAGCCACCGGGTCTGGGACGCGAACCGCAGTCGACTATGTGGGAATCCAGCGACATAGCCATTACGCTAACTGCTGGTCCCACCCCAATGGAGATTTAAAGTAAACAATAAACACAAAAACTTACTTTAGCCAGTTAGACGTAAATAACCAAAATAGTTTACTAAAATTCTATATTTAACATGGAGTAAATCCAAGCATAGCACAAGAATACATGTAGTGTACGAGAAACCTAAAAAAAAATTCTCCCAGAATCCTCGAAGTGAATCTTGAAAGTACAACATCTAGCGAGAGACTCCACAACTAAAAGAGGGATGAAGAGAAAGTGGAAAGGATTCAGTGGACAGGCACAGAGATGATTAAAGGGTTGAGAAAATAGGAGATAGAAATTATTTAGCCTAAGTTAGAAAAGATTTTTTTTTTTTTAATAGCAGCATCCAAACATAGGAAGATAATGAATGGCTGTTTTCTATCTCAACTGGAGAGTGAAAAAAAGAAAGAAACTTTGGTTAAAGCATGGAAGACCTAAAGAACTTTTGAAAAGAGGATTTTGGATATGATACCTTTTCAGCAGCATCTTCATGCATATGCTCCTTAAATAATATTACCTCACAAGGTTCATTTTAAGTCTTCTCTTCTTTCTTTATATGTTCTCCTTAGTTCATTTCATCTACTCAGATCTTAATTGTCCCTTATAAGATAGTAATTTCCTAGGGACAGCCGATGATGAAGTGGTTAAGGTGCTGGACTCCCACTTGGCTGACTGCAGTTTGAGTCCTGAATCAGCACCTTTTTTTTTTTTTTTGAGAGGTTTTTACTATAGGGCGCGTGCCCTTGCCAGACAAACAGAGAGAGACAGAGAGACAGAAAGTGAGAAATTACCCCCCAGGGGGGATGACCATTCCACAATCCCTTCTCTTCCATTCTCCTCTCAGGATCTTGAGCACGCACGCACACGTGCCCAGCGTCAGTTTTCAGCCACCAGGTCCAGGACTTGAACCACGGTCGACTACATGGGAGTCCAGCAACATAGCCATTATGCTAACTGCTTGAACCAGCATCTTGAAACTCATGCCACACATATGAGTGTGCATGCCCAGAGTCCTAAGAGGAGAATAGAGGAGAAGAGATTGTGGTGTGGCCATCCACCCTGTGGAGTGATTTCTTGCTTTCTGTCTCTGTCTCTCTGGCATACATGTGTGCCCTATAGCAAAAATCTCTCAAAAAATGAAAGAAAAAAAAAGATAATAATTTCCAAATAAATATACATCTAAGTGTCTCCACTCCAGAGTACTCTCTAAATGCCTGCTGGCCATCAGGACTTCCCTTTTTACCTGTTCTGTTGCAATAGCATCATGACTAGTACCACTGTCTCTCTAGCCATCAATTCCATTCTCTGGTTCTACGACAGCCTGACCCTTTCTTTCTGAAAGCAAGTCTTGCTCGGCCTTGGTGGTGCAGTTGGTAGCATACTGAACTGCAGAGCTGGAAGCCACATGCCTGACTGCGAGTTTGGGTCACCAGCGTGTCTACCTTGAAACATTCTGGACATGCTTGCATGCCTAAGATCCTGACGAATGGAGAGCTGGGGAAGGGGCTAATGGTGTAGTGTGATAAAACCCTGTCAAAAGTGCCCTACGTCCTCCCATGCACACACATGTGCTATCGTGAATAAAATAAACAAAACTTGAATACATTAAAGTGAACCAGCAAATGGTTTGGAGGTTAAGGTAGCTGGATCCCACATGGCCAGCTGCAAGTTTGAGTCCCAGATCCAATGGCTTGAAAAACATGCCAGGTGGGTTTGTGTGTGTACCCAAAATCCTGAGAGGAGAAAGGAGAAGGAATTGTGGTGTGGCCATCTGCTTCCTGCCCCCAAGGGTTGCTTTTTCACTTTCCCTCTCTATCTCTGGCAAGTGCACGTGCACTATAGCAAAAATGAACTGAATTAAGTGGCTAAGAGAATCTAGAGATCAGTCAGAAACGTAATATATCACAGACTATTACATTTATCACAGGACATTCAGGCAGCTCATCTGACACCTCTTGCAGCGTTCTCCGACATTCCATATTCTTCTTCTATCCCTGACCCCAGTATCTTTCCCTTGCTCTCTCTTAGCCTCGCAAAGTTATCCATTTATACCTTATGTATACCATATGCGACTCAGTTCTTAATTCTGTGGAGCCAGGTAAGTATCATCATCTTATAGTCGAGTACCTCATCATGTATGTGTAGATGACATGTGGGTATACAGCAGTATTTATATACGGCCTATGTACTCTAGTCAATTTAACATGTTCGCTTTTTTTTTTTTAAAGTCTATTTATTCATGATAGTGCAGGCATGCTCAGTGAGAGACAGAGAGAAGCACTTGTATCCAGTCCATCAGCAGCTTCTATAATTTTCTCAGTATCTAATCGGTTAGCTCCACTTTGGCCATTGCTAACCTAGTCTGCACTTTCATCAGCTCTCCTGATAGCCTTCCCTGGTCCTCTTCATAGCCTCTCTCTGCAGCCACGATGATCTCAAAATCTACGTGTGGTACTTTGTGCTGCCCCTCCCTCCTCCTTCAAGCCCTTTAGCAGCATCCCACTGTTCTTACCACAGAGAGAAACTTGCACCGTCCCTGGGCCCCTGCACCATGGATCATACCCACTTCATCTCACACTCTGTTCCTCTCGGCTGCTCTAGCCATTTAGGATTTTTTTTTTTAAGTTTTATTTATTAATTTAGGTCTTTGCCATAGGGTACATGTGCTCATCAGAGAAAGAGAAAGACAGAGACAGAGGGAGGGAGAGTGAGAAATCACCATCCCAAGGGATGGTCATGCTGCAATCCCTTCTCCTCCATTCTCTTATTGGGATTTTGGGAACACATGCCCGGCATGATTTTCAAGCTGCTGGGTTCAGGAGTAGAACCATGGTCAGCTCTGTGGTAGTCCGGTGCCTTAAGCACCACACCATCTACTGGCTCCAAAGTGTTATTTATTTTATTCATAAAGGAGAGTAAGAATGTGTTTGAGAGAGACTGGCACCATCTGCAGGGTCTCATCACAGTATGTTCCCTTTCCCCAGCCCTCTAGCTCTTCAGGATCTTGGGCACACACACGCCCAGTGTGTCTTTGGAACAACACGGGGAACAGAACCTGTGGTCAACCATGTGGTTTGGAGCACTAGTCAGTGTGCTACTGACTGTGCCACCTGGGCTTGCTTTCTATCCTCCAGACGACAATGACCCATTTCTCTGCAGGCCTCTGTACAGGCTGGAAAGTCATCTATCGTCTCCCTCCCACCTGCTTACACTCCCAATCATCCTTCGCTGCAGAACCACTTTCCCATGGAATTCTCTGATTGCCCTGAAGAATCAGATCAAATCTTTATATTATAAGCTTTCATAGTGCCATATACTTCCCCCTTTCTCTCCCTTCTTCCCATGTCCCATTTTCTCCTTTCTTTGTACATTTGTTTTTGTAATCATTTGATTGTCAAGCTCCCCCCATTAGACTATAAGCTTCATTAAGCAGTCTATTCTTTTTTTCTTTTTGGAGAGCTTTTTGCTAGAGGGAGCTGTGCACTCACCAGAAAGACAGAGAGAGACAGAGATATAGAAAGTGAGAAATCACCCCCCGGGGGGGTGGCCACACCTCAATCCCTTCTCCATTCTCCTCTCGGGATCTTGGGCATGCACGCATACACACCCAGCCTGAGTTTAAGCCACTGGGTCCAGGACTTGAACCATGGTCGACTACATGAGAGTCCAGCAATGTAACCATTACACCATCTGCTGGTCCTGCAGTCTATTCCTGCTCATCATTTTATCTTGATTACTTAAAACAGCATCTGGCAAGGAGAGAATATTTAAATATGTTGAATAAATTTATTTTTGGTTTATATTTACCATGTGCTGAGTCAAGGGCCTTACATATATTATCTCATTAAATCGTCACAACAAACCCATGCGGTTACTAACATTCTATTATTATCTCCATTTACAAATGAGAACATCAGATCCAGAGATGGTAAGTAATTTTCCCAAGGCCTCACAGAACGAACACTGAAGTCCTCTACAGTAGGACCATGTATGACTGGTGTCGGTCGTTTGTGGGTGCCTTTGTAGGTGGGGATGTGTTAAGTGACATAGAGCGTGTTAAAAAGAAGAGGTCTCTGAATCATAAACAGGTCATTTCTGTCTCTTGAGCAAACCTGAAAATCCTGAAATAAGTTTTAAGAGTCAACATCAGAATCCCACGGTTGTTAGGTCAGGTTACTTAAATAGAAGAAAAAAGTAGGCTGTACCTGAATTGTACTTGTTCAATGAGCCTAATTGTTCCACCGATCAGCGAGGCATAATAACTCCGCACAGGACAACACTGACTGTGACTGGTCTGGGGAAATATGGCTCAGTCAAAAACTTAGCAGGCCAAAATAATGACTTGATTCTTCTCTCGCTGACAGGAAAACAACTTGCCTGCCTCACTTCTGTTGAGAACTTTGGTTTATTCAGATACTCCTACTGACCCATTGGAAGTACTGCACCTACTCTTGAGCGCTTTACTGGAAGGTACTTTGAAATTTTTTCCTTTTCCATGCACACAGCGCGGCCCACTTCTCTTGTGAAGAGAGACACAACTGCACGGCTCTGTTTCATGACTCTTACTGCCAAAGTCTGCTCTCCAAGTTCGAAGGAAATTTTATGTAGGTTGATCACAAATGTTTGAAAAGGCTCATCTTCACTTCTGAAGAATTTTAAAAGGCATCATTTTATCTTTTATGAAATTATTATTGTTCTGTGAATTACCAAGGTATCTGAGAGGTAAGAAGCCTGTGATCTGCTGGGTAGGAGAGAGAGAGTCATTAGAAGTTCTCGTAGTTTCTCAGGCAGGACTTCAAGAGATGGTGGTAACTTGTTATATCCTTCAAAGTTTCAGATCTGCAACTGAAATATGCACACTCCTAAATGGGCTGATCACTAACTTAAAATATATTAGATTCTCAGACACTACCTTGAACCAATCCAGTTCAGAAGAAACCACCCATTTGTTATTTTCCAATGGAACATTTGTTTGGCAAGGTAACTTATCTTATACTCAGAGAATTTCTTCTTAGTGGATGAAGGTATGTAAGAGGCCAAATTGAAGATCAGATTGTGTGATGACCATATAATCAGAAAGAAGGAAACTGATGTTATTATGAAGTATCTAATTTGGTCAGCCCCTTGTTTAAAAACATTTCTAAGTCTCCCCACACTTTTAGGGTAAAGTTTAAAACTCCTTATTAATCACTCCCCCTCCTTTCTTTTTGAATCTCACTTCAAGTATTTCTCCTCTCTTCCAGATATGCTGATCTACATTAAATTTCTTTCCTTTTGAGATAAATTTCCTTTTAACAAAATTTATGTTCCTCAAAACCCTGCTCAAAGATCTCCCACCTATCAAATTTTCAAATCAAGGACCAGCAGTTAGCGTAATGGCTATGTCGCTGGACTCCCACGTAGTCGACCGCGGTTCACATCCCGGACCCGGTGGCTTAAACTCACGCTGGGCGCGTGTGCGTGCGTGCCCAAGATCCCAAGAGGAGAATGGAGGAGAAGGGATTGCGATGTGGCCATCCCCCCTGGGGGGTGATTTCCTGCTTTCTGTCTCTCTGTCTCTGTCTCTCTCTGTATGTCTGGCGAGCGTACGCGCCCTATAGCAAAAACCTCTCCAAAAAAAGAAAAACAAATTTTTCAAATCAGTGTCTTCTATCCTCTGTGTTCCCATAGCAATTTGTATGTATGTCTACCAATACTTAATCATTTTAATTACTAACCTACCTGCTCTCCTTCAGTGAAAGGTGAATTTCTTCAAAGTTGGGACTATCTCTCTTTTTTTTTTTTTTATGAGAGAAAATGCACATATGTGGGGGAGGGGGTTGTCAAGACAGAGAGGTATATTTGATATGGTTCATGCTGCAATGTTCCAGCCCCAGCCTCCCAGTTAGCTAGGACCTAGGTGGGGACCATGCCCTGGCCTACGCAGATTGGACCAGGAACTTAACCTGGGCCTCTAGTGTAACTTTGGCCTTCTTGTGCAGTGGTGCCCTCCCAGTCATGCCACCGCAGCTGGGCCTGGGGTAATCTTAATTATTTAGTAAATCCTAATGTATGGCAACAGGAGACACTCAGCAAATGATTTTAAGTTATCTACTATGGGACCAGCAGATAGCATACTGGTTATGTTCCTAGACTCACATGTAGTTAACCGTGGTTCAAGTCCTGGACCCAGCGGTTTAAATTCATGCCAGATTCATGCACATGCGCGCCCAAAATCCCTGGAGGAGAATGGAGAAGAGATTGGGGTGTGGCCATCCCTAGGGGTCGGGGAGATGGGGGTGAGTTATTGCTTTCTGTCTGTCTCTCCAGCAAGTTCACATGCCCTATAGCAAACATTTCTCTTAAAAAAAAAAAAAAAATCTGCTATGTGCATTAAATTAGGTAGAAACCTTGCTGTCTCCATTCTTCAGTAATTCCAGAACATCCTACCTTATAAAATAGTTCCCATTACATCCCATTAGACCAATGGTTGTCTCAGGGTATTGAGTTTTGTAAATTAGTGAAAATAATTTATTTATTTTAGTTTTTGCTATAGGAATATGCATTCACTGGAGAGAGTTAGGGGTGTTGTGAGAAATCGCTCCCCAAGGGGGATGGCCATACCACAATCCCTTCTGGGCATAAACATATATGCGCTTGGCATGTCTTTTTTAATTTTTAAAATTTTTGCATCTAAGCAATTTTAATATTTTTTTGTGTGTGTGAGGTTTTTGCTATAGGGAGCCTGTGCTTGCCAGAAAGACAGAGAGAGACAGAGAGATAGAAAGCAAGAAATCACCCCCCAGAGGGAATGGCCACACCACAACCCCTTCTCCTCCATTCTCCTCTCAGGATCTTGGGCACCCACACACACACACACCTGGCACGAATCTAAACCACCGGGTCCGGGACTCAAACCGCGGTTGACTACATGGGAGTCCAGCAACATAGCCATTACTCTAACTGCTCTTCCCTTGCTTGGCGTGTCTTTTAAGCCACTGGGTTCAGGACTCAAACAGCATGGTTAGCTGCCTTAACCACTATGCTACCAGCTGGCCCTACATTTCTCTGTATTTCCATTCTACTTCCTCACAGAATTTTATATTTATACTTGGATTTAACTATTATATTTATACTCATTGATCACACTCCCTTTTTTCTTTTTGAACCTCACTCATTATTAATGTAATTGTAAAAATTTCTGTGACCATAATGTTTAAAAACTCTCAAACTGCCATTATAATCATTAACTTGCCATTAAACAAAACAACACATTTATAATATCAACATTATAAATATTGATATTACATACAAGATATAAACATTTCTTCAAAACGTTTTATTTATTTTGGGAACCGGCAGTTAGTGTAATGGCTATGTCGCTGGACTCCCACGTAGTCGACTGCGGTTCGCGTCCCAGACCCGGTGGCTTAAAACTCACACCGGGTGCATCTGCATGCGTGCCCAAGATCCCGAGAGGAGAATGGAAGAGAAGGGATTGTGGCGTGACCATCCCTCCTGGGGGGTGATTTCTCGCTTTCTGTCTCTATGTCTCTGTCTGGCAAGCACACGCGCCCTATAGCGAAAAAAACCTCTCCAAAAAAAAAAATGTTTTATTTATTTTAGGTGTTTGCCATAGGGTGTGTGTGCTTTCTGGATAGACACAGTGAGAGGGAAAGTGAGAAACCACCCCTGCAGGGGATGGCCACATCGCAATCCCTTCTCCTCCATTCTCCTCCGGGGAGTTTGGGCACACACGCACACATGCCCAGTGTGATTTTCAAGCCACCAGGTCCAAGACTCAAACTACAGTCAGTCGTAGGGGAATCCAGAGCCTTAACCACCATGCCACCTATTGGCCCCAGGAAATGCATGTTTTAATTAACTGAGTTTTCTTCAAGTGATGAACGTCCCAAGCACAGGTTTGCTTCATCCCTGAGTGTTAACAGTCAGGTAGGCCTTACAGTTTATGTTCCTTCTTTTCTTTGGTATATGTGCTGAGGCATTTGTGCACAAAAAGTGATGAATGATCGTAGGGGAAGTTTTTAGTTATGTCGTAAAATTCATTTCTCTTTTTTTTTGGGGGGGGGGCACATATGCACGCAGGACAGAGAGAGACAAAGAAAGTGAGAAATCATCCCCTAGTGGGGAGGGCCACACCAATCCCTCCTCCTCCATTCTTTCGGGATTTTGGACATGCACGCACATGTACCTGGCGTGATTCTCAAACCACTGCATCCAGGACTTGCCCCATGGTCAGGCATATGTAATTTAGCATCTTAATCACCTTGTCCCTGTTAGCCCTACACAATTCTTTTTTTTTTTTTTTTTCTGGAGAGGTTTTTGGTATAGGGCGTGTATCCTTGCCAAAAAGACGGAGAGAGACAAAGACAGAAAGCAAGAAATCAACCCCCTTTCCCTGGCAGGGGAAGGATGGCCACGCTGCAATCCCTTCTCCCCCATTCTCCTCTCGGGATCTTGGGCACGCGCGCACACGTGCCCAGCATGAGTTTAAGCCACCGGGCCCGGGACTTGAACCAGGGTCAATTAAACGGGAGTCCAGTGACATAGCCTTTATTCCAACTGCTGGTCCCTACTCTACACAATTCTTTAAACGCCTTCCAAGCTATGTGGAAAAAGCCCTTAGTGACCTATCATTCAAAATTATTTTTAATCATCAACTGACACCTCAATCAGGTCTTTCCTCAGTTTGTTAGAAAAAAAACAAAAGCTGGAAACCATCAGAGCTGCGGAAGTATTGCTACTAAAAGTAACTAGAAACATACGCTTGCCTATCTGTCTCTGGTGCCCCCTTTTTCATTTAGAGCCAGTGTGTCATAGTGACATTAAAAATGGGTCAAGTGGGACCAGCAGATGGTGTAATGGTTTCGTCGCTGGACTCCCACATAGTTGACTGTGGACCTGGCGGCTAAAATCTCAGGCCGCTCAGACATGTGTGTGCATGCCCCGAATCCCAGGAGGAGAATGGAGGAGGGACTGCAGTGTGGCCATCCTCCCTGAGGGTGATTTCTTGCTTGTCTTTCTGGTGAGTACACATGCCCTATAGCAAAAATCCACCCCCCTAAAAAAAAAGAAAAGACTGGGTGAAGTGAGAGAAGGGTGACTGTGAACGTGGAGGTGAGAGAGAAACCAACCTGAGTGGAGCTTTGTTCAGCTGTTCAGTGTTTGGAAACAGTTCACATGGGAGAGAAAGTCTTGACAACCGCCTCTCCTAAATACAGTTCATTTGCTCACAAACTTTTTTTTTTGGAGAGATTTTTGCTATAGGGCACATGCACTCGCCAGAACAACTAGGACAGTCTCTCTCTCTCTCTCTGTCTTTCTGGCGAGTGCATGCGCCCTATAGCAAAAACCTCTCCAAAAAAAAGTGGGTGACATGAAGAAAACTGTGTTGTAACCATTCCCTAGGAGGTGCTGCTTACTTTCTCTCTCTCTCTCTCTCTCTCCAGGCGAGCACACAAGCTCTCTGGCAAAATTTTAAAAAGAGGAGAGAAAGAAAATAAAGCCCTGCTTTATGGTATTTTTTCATAGAAGTCATCATTTGTAAATGTGGGAAGGGGTGGGTTAGTGCAAAATCTCTGTCTACTGAACGGAGCCAATTTAATGGACATAACCAAGGAAATGAATCTGTGAAGCAAACTATCTGTAAAACTAAACATTTGGGATGGATCTCCTAATGAACAGAAATCAGTAATATAAATGTGGCTTTAATCATTGCTTTCAATAAAAGTAAATATCCAACCCTTACCCCTGCTCCATGTTTCTGTTCTTTGTAGCACTTGTTAAAATTCAAATTGCAAAAAGAATCGAGTTTTGTATAATTAACATATACGAAGGAGGTACTTTATCTTTTTACTTCTCTCAGAGAACTATAGATTGAGCTAACCCCTAAAATGGCTAGCAAAACATTAAATTTCAAATTTCAAAATTATAAGCATGAGTTATATTGTTTTATTATAGTTACATAGATCGTTAAAGACCTAGTAAGGTTTATTTTTTAGGTTTTTGGTACAGGACGAGCGTACTCACAGGAGAGAGACAGAGAGAAGGAAAGTGAGGAATCATACCCCAGGGAGAATGGCCATGCTGCAACCCCTTCTTCATCTGCCTGCGGTTCTGGGTACGCACACACATACCTAGCGTGATTTTCAAGCCACTGGGTCCAGGACTCAAACTGAGGTCAACCATGTGGGAATCCAGTGCCTTATCCACCACACCACCTGCTGGCCCAATGACCTAGTAAGTTCTGATTGGAATTTGGGTGTGTGTTAGAGGATCTGCATTTGTCAGAGAAAGAGAGAGAGAGAGAGAGAGAGGAGAGACTCCCTCGCTCCCACCATGAAACACAGTCAGGCTGCAATCCCTTTGTCATCTTTCCCTCCTTTTGTGATTCTGGGCATGCGCATACATGTGCCTGGGATATTTCACAAAATGCCAGGTCTGGGATTCAAACTATAAGCTGTGTAAGATTTGGCTACCTTAACCACCAACCAAGAGCCAGCCCTGACTGCAATTATTTTTATTGAGTCTTTAAAATGTTTTTAAAGCCTTTGACTGCACACTTTATTTATGGAAATAACTGATATAAGATGCAAATATTATTAACACTTAAAAACCTACCATATTTGGGCTTACTGGCTTATTCAACAAAATTCTGATTTATGTTTTTGTCTTTTATTTATTCAGAGTTCAAGGTTCTGTCTACCAAGCTGACCAAAGCTTTGCTTAACAGGAGAGAATGAAATAATCAATGACACTTTTTTTTTTTTTTTCAAATTTGCTTTTGGGACTTTGAGCATGAATGCTTGATATGTTTTTCAAGCCACTGGGTGGGAACTCGAACTGCGCTGTTGGCCGTGTGAGAGCCAGCCACCTTAACCACCCCACCACTGGCTGGCTCTAATTATACCACTTTAAAAACTGTACTTGTGACAAGAGCTGTGATGAATGCTGAGAGAATCCAGAACAGGGTATTTGCATGTTCGGGGGCAATGGATTGTTGGGGAAAGCTGCCTAAGGAAGTGATCCAAGGAGGAATATGGGTGAACTATTGTAGAAGACGGAAAAGCATCAGGGAAGGAGGAAGCCAGTTTCCAGAGGAGAATCCTGGGGGAGAAGAGGAACCAGGAATAAGATAAAGCTGCAACAGGAGAAGGCAGCCACCCTGGTAGGGCCCTCCAGGCAATTTTACAGGGTGTGATAAGTAAACCAACCCCAAATAATTGAAACCTTGTGAAGGATTTTAGGCATGAAGGGATCAGGCATCATGAGTGTGGGTGGGGTGACAAGATGAAATTTGCATTTTGAAAGACAACTGCCTTTCAAAATCTTCCCTAGAGAAAGGATTTAAGGGCAGAGCCCCAGTTGGCTTAATGTGATAGATGCTTCCCTAAAAACATACATGTACACTTAAGCTTTGGGGATTGGAATTTTCTAAAAAATTTTAAAAAAATTGGGGGGCTTTTATTTTTTTAATCTTTGCATTTATTGGGGTGGGGCAGGGAAAACTTGGTTCATAAAATGGAGAAAAAGAACAGACCACACTTTTTCCCCAAAGCCCTGGGGCAAACCATGATATTGATTACACAAATTATTAACAACTTTTCTCCCTAAAACGAAAATAGCTTTGTTGACTTACACACTCAATATAAATTACATTTTCAATATAACACTACAGAAAATGTGTTAAGAAAGTTCAAAAATTGAAATTCTACTACTGAGATCATTATTCCCTCCGTTCTGGTGAACATTCATTATTTTTATGTGGAGGAGTGCAAGGAGAGGTTGAGAGAGGCAGTTTTGACAAGGCCTCATCAAGTTCCTTCTCCCCTAGTCCCTCAGCCAGCCATCATGCCTAGTGTGTTGGTTGGGCTGGGAACCAAACCTGTCTCCCATGTAGCCATGGCTACCATGGAGCAGTACCTCCCTTTTGCACCACCACAGGTGGGCCCTGGTGAGCAATGTGTTTGTTTTTGTTTTGATTGATTTTTGCTACAGGACATGAGCTCTTGCTGGCTAGAAATCACCCCCCTGGGGGATGGCCACACCGCAATCGCAATCCCTTCACCTTCATTCTCCTCGGGATTTGGGGCATGCTTGTACATGCACCCAGTGTGTTTTAAGCCGCTGGATCTGGGACTCAAACTGCAGTCAACTATGTGGGAGTCCAGCGATATAACCATTATGACATCTGTTGGTCCTGAGCAGCGTTTTAATCACTCCATACTTGTATTTTTACACAATTCTATGAATTGGTCATAAAATTAAGCCAGAAGAGATGAGGGTTATTTTGCTCAGCAATGTATATATGCTCGCTGCTTAACAAAGCAGGTGCTCCGTAAATATTTTGATGAATAACTCTTCCTATAGTATATATTAATATATTGCTTTTGTTTCACTCAATAAACCTGAACTTACACATGATGCCCTGTCACTCTAATTATGCCTGGTCAATAATTCATTATAGAAATGTACCATAATGTACATAAATAATCTCATATTGCTAGAAGCTTAATTTTTTTTCTAGTTTTTAGGCTTATAAACAGTACTGCAGTAAACATTCTCTCTTCTTTTTTTGGAGAGGTTTTTCTCTATGGGGTGTGTGCACTTGCCAGAAAGAGAGAGAGAGAGACAGAAAGTGAGAAATCTCCCCCCCGGGGGGATGGCCACACTGCAATCCCTTCTCCTCCATTCTCCTCTTGGGATCTTGGGCAAGCACGCACACGCACCTGGTGTGAGTTTAAGTCACTGGGTCCGGGACTCAAACGGTCAACTACATGGGAGTCCAGTGACATAACCATTATGCCAACTGCTGGTCCCGCAGTAAACATTCTTGTACAGGCAAATTCCTAGTACCAAAATTGCTAGGTAAAATGATATATACCCATTTCATATGTTGACACAGATGGCTAAGCAGTGTACCAGAAAACTTATTTCTATCTTTCCAATACCCCTGATGGGTAAAAATCATTACTTCTCGCTGGTATTTTTAGGCACATTTCTGATTACTGGCCGAGACTGTACATCTTTTCATGTTTACCAGTCACTTAGTCCACTTGGGGTCGGTATAACAAAATGTCATAAACCAGGTAGCTGAAAAACAACAGAAATTAGTCATTTCTGGAAGCTAGAAATTCTAAGACCAGCAGATTCTATGTCTGGTTATGTGTTTCTCACAAGAGTACCTTCTTTCTGTACATGGTAGAAGGGGCAAACAAGCTCCCTGGGCCTCTTTTATAGGAGCTTTAATCTCATTTATGAGGACTGTGTTCTCATGATCTATCTAATCACCTCCCAAAGGCCCCTTCTCAGTACCATCGCCTTAGGGCTTAGGTTTCAATGTACACATTTAAGGGGGGGATACTTAGACTATAGCATTTGTATTTCTTTTCATTTAATTTTCTAATTCCTGTCTTTTGCCCATTTTTTGCTTCTACTTCATTTGTGTGTGTTTACGCCTTCTTTTTTTTTTTTTGCCATAGGGCACGTACACTCCCTGAAAAGAGAAAGAGGGGAGAGAAAGTGAGAAATCACTCTCCCAGAGGGTATGGCCATGCTGCAATCCCTTGGGATTTTGGGGCATGCATACACACAGCCTCATTTTCAAGTCATCAGGTTAAGGGCTCAAACCACAGTCGACTATGTAGGAATCCAGCTCCTTAACTGCTATGCCACCTGCTGGTCCTTCATTTGTGTTTTTTAAAATTGATTTATAAAAACTCTTTGTACATCATGGGAACCAGCAGTTAGCGTAATGGCTATGTCGCTGGATTCCCACGTAGTCGACCGCGGTTCGTGTCCCGGACCTGGTGGCTTAAAACTCACGCTGGGCGAGTGTGCGTGCATGCCCAAGATCCTGAGAGGAGAATGGAGGAGAACAGATTGTGGCGTGACCATCCCCTCTGGGGGGCGATTTCTCGCTTTCTGTCTCTCTCTGCCCGGCGAGCGCACCCGCCCTATAGTGAAAACCTCTCCAAAAAAAAAAAAAAAAAAAAAACAACTCTTTGTACATCAGTGATATTAAACCTTTGTCTGTCATATATGTCTTGAATTTTCCCTAGTTCACTTTAAAATATTGAATATTCTTGTTTATAATGGTTACACATTCCCTTGACCAGAGAATCCCCTTTTAAAATGTATTCTAAATAGTATGTACAGTTTTATTTCCAAGAACATTCACTACAGATTTGTTTATAATGAAAACAAACAAAAATACCTGTACACAAATGTTCAATAGAAGCCTGCTTAAATTGATTCTGGTATAGCCATAGTTACTAAAATGATACTGAAAATAATTATATTAAAGCATATTAACTAAAAGCCCGTCAGTAGCAATGGTGGTGAAAGTGGTTGGATCCAACATAAACAACTATGTGATTTAAGACCCAGACCTGGGAACCAGCAGTTAGCGTAATGGCTATGTCACTGGACTCCCACATAGTTGACCGTGGTCCGCATCCCGGACCCGGTGGCTTAAAACTCACGCCGGGCGCGTGTGCGTGTGTGCCCAAGATCCCGAGAGGAGAATGGAGGAGAAGGGATTGCGGTGTGACCATCCCCCCTGGGGGGGATTTCTCGCTTTCTGTCTCTGTGTCTCTGTCTGGCGCGTGCAGGCGCCCTATAGCAAAAACCTCTCCAAAAAAAAAGAATATTTTTCACTCAAAACAATATTGTGAATTATTTAGCAAACATTTAGTAATTGCCTACTGCATGCTGACTGTGCCTGGGGAAGTGGGGCATGTAAGGCAGTCCTTGTCCTCGTGTACCTCACTCTGGTAAACGACTCCTGTCACCCCTGTAGACAGAATCATAGGCCCTCATCCCTGGAACCTGAAGAGGCAAAGCACCTCTACCAAGGCAGGAAAGGACAAGACCAGCAGCTATGTCACTGGACTCCCACATAGTTGACCGTGGTCCGCATCCCGGACCCGGTGGCTTAAAACTCACGCCGGGCGCGTGTGCGTGTGTGCCCAAGATCCCGAGAGGAGAATGGAGGAGAAGGGATTGCGGTGTGACCATCCCCCCTGGGGGGGATTTCTCGCTTTCTGTCTCTGTGTCTCTGTCTGGCGCGTGCAGGCGCCCTATAGCAAAAACCTCTCCAAAAAAAAAGAATATTTTTCACTCAAAACAATATTGTGAATTATTTAGCAAACATTTAGTAATTGCCTACTGCATGCTGACTGTGCCTGGGGAAGTGGGGCATGTAAGGCAGTCCTTGTCCTCGTGTACCTCACTCTGGTAAACGACTCCTGTCACCCCTGTAGACAGAATCATAGGCCCTCATCCCTGGAACCTGAAGAGGCAAAGCACCTCTACCAAGGCAGGAAAGGACAAGACCAGCAGAGCCAGGTACAAAAACTAAGCCCCATCAACGTTACGGTGGGACACTGTCAAGTAGTACCTATAGCAGTCTCACATAGCCTGAAGTGAAATTAGGGGACAAACTGGTTGGGGATATCCCTTTCTTGAGGGGTTCCCCTGGTAAACAAAAGGGGGAATTCCCTTAAATATGGCAGAACCCTAACAGTAAATATAGGGGTATAGGAGAGAATGGATTCCTGCTTGCTAGCAGGAGACTAGAGGGGGTGGGGGAATTTCTAAAAACTCCATTTACACAGCAGGAGATCCCCTCTTCTGTTGCTCAAAGTTCCCTTGCTGCAGAGTATTTGGAGACATTTCTGATTACTATCCTCTTGGACTTTGTTTCTGATCTGATCTCCCTTCAGGGTTTAGAGGAAGACAACTGAATATACGTGTGCATGTGATAAACGTATAAATGCACGAGCACGTACACACAGACACATTTACACTCACTGGCTGTTTGGAGTTTAGTGGTTCTAGAATTTAGGTCATTTATTTGTACACCTGTATCTAGTGTCATTAGTTCCTATCCAGTCCTTGCTTAAACATTATTCTCGACAGAAAACAATGTGGAATTTACTCAACAGAAGGCAAGGCATACGTCTGAGGAAAATGCTGTTCTGACACACCATTATGGACCCAAACACTCTGAGTAGCTCTGGTACTATAACAGAGCAATAGTAATACTAGCATACATGTATATAGCGCCTATTATGCACTAAAGACACACGATGAAAAAAAGCAAAGATTCAATAACTGTTTTGGAATGAAAACAAGCATTAAAGTTGGAATAAAAAACATTTAAGTCCTTTTCACTTCTTTTTTTTATTATTATTATTTTGTTGAGATTTTCGCTATAGGGAGCGTGTGCTCGCCAGCCAGACAGAGAGAGACAGAGAGACAGAAAGCGAGAAATCCCCCCCAGGGGGGATGGTCACGCCACAATCCCTTCTCCTCCATTCTCCTCTCGGGATCTTGGGCACGCACGCACATGCGCCTGGCGTTGAGTTTTAAGCCACTGGGTCCGGGACACGAACCGCGGTCGACTACGTGGGAATCCAGCGACATAGCCATTACGCTAACTGCTGGTTCTCAGTCCTTTTCACTTCTATTGCATTAATCTTAGATATAAGAAATTAACTGCAGTAACTCTTCCCTCTTTTTATAGGAGAGAAGGCAGTGATGATTAAAGTATAATAAATACTGTATCTGCAAAGGCCTGAAATATTTTTAAAAAGCACTAAGGACAGCGCATTAAATTACTATTACAGTCTCTCATAAGAAGCACATATCACATAGACATAGTAGGCAAAATTCTCACTTTTTCAGGGTACATGTTAGATGGAAGTCACAGACTTCACTCTCTTAAACATTTCAACAACTAAAATAAAGGAGGATAAAAACAAAACAAAACAAAAATCTGAAGATCGGTATCAGAATGTCAATCGGTTGACCACTGGTGGTCAGGTGACAATACAGATAGATGATAAAACGCTTATTATTGGAAGAATAACTCCAAGCCAAAATTTTTTTGTGGCAGGGTAGAATAGTAGTGTCATTCTTTACACTAAAATTACATTTAATCTATAAGGTAGAACTCATCTTGTTATACGGGCAATAAAGTAACGGTGAATTAAGTGAAAGGTGCTTAGAACAATCTATCCAGCAACACTTGCCTGAATGTACATGCATGTATTTAGCCCATTTAAAAATATTAAGGAAAATAATATTGTGTAATATGGTCAGGAAATTTTGTTTTTGGGAGGTTAAGCTTGAAACATATATTCCATAGCATATATTCACAACTTTAAATATTATTACTGTTTTTAAACATAGAAAATAGTTTCTGAAGAGAACAAGAATTGTAACACTAGAGGGCCTAAAAATGGTAACGTGTGCAACTTCCAAAACATATATAATCACACGTTAATGTATAACATGGGAGGTTGAAGCCTCTAACATAACCCACTAGATAATCTGTAACTGTAACGAGTTTAAGTATAGTCCTTACTTTTTCTATACATATCCTAATATGGATTTATATTAATGTAAAACATAAACCACCCAAACCTAGACAATCTTTTTTGAATTCAACAATTGTCTGGGACATTCTTATATTAGTCTGCGACCCAACCTCTACCATAGCTATTTCTTAGTAAAGAAGTCTCTCCACGTTTAAGAGGATCTTTTTATTTAACCTGAAATAGGCATAAACAATGATAATTAAAAATGTATCTCACGTTGTAAATTAGTAAATGTGTCTGGACACTTCAGTATTTGCTAAATTTGGCAGACTGACAAACGCAAAGAAAGGCTCTCAACTGGAAAATCTTTTTCTGAAAAACTAAGATTATAATTATGGACTTTTCATGTCCCGCTCAATCTATTCGAATCCAGTAAGTTCCATATGAATGTAAACTGTTTTAAAAAGTCTTAAAAAATAATTCTGGTCTCTGAACACACACTGTTCGGAGCCGCACACACGTCCGTCCGTATCAGCCGACTCCTCCCCGCTCCTGGGGAAAACCCTGCCTAATATTTATAACGTTATGACATACTGTAATACTCACAAGGTGGTTGTAGAAGTATAAACACGACTGGAGTTATCTGATTGGCTGCTGGTGATGTAACACCCATGTCAATACTTCCCAGTGAACGCACGTGTTCGACCTTTTATTTAAATTTCCATTTCATCACAGCAATAAGACACTCGGGGCGGTGCATTTTCTGCGAAATGATTATTGCCTCGGGCCCGAGGTGCTGCCTCGCACACACAATGCAGCAGAGGAGGAGGTGTCCGTGCTTGGAACCTCCTCGCGTGAAAGGCACCGCCTGGTCCAGTCTTTGTGAAGGAACAAAATAAGTTCACTTCCTTGGGCACCGCCACCCATCCCCAGCAAATGACAAGGCTGGAGCGCAGCTCCCACCGCACAGTTATTTCCAAAGTCCCAGGTGAACTCGTGGCGAGAGAAGGAAAATGCGCGTCCCGGGCGCGGGTAGGTGCGTGCGGGCAGCGGGGAGGCGGCCAGCCCCTGACACTCGCCAGCTGTTTGTCCTCCGCGCAGCCCCGCCCCGGCCGCCCACGCCCGCCCC